GACAGGCAGCCCGGGCCACTGGCGGCTATGCTCTACCCCGTATATTCATTCGGTTAGCTAATCTGAATCGTTCAATTCCATTTCAAGAGCGGGATCATCTGTGGTAGTAGCACTAGACATCTTCCAGGCATGTGAGTAAAACTAGCAGCAGTTCAGTGGACAGGAAGAATGAATGGTAGCCGGCGCGCGCGGATGACGTCATACACACGCCGCTTTGTTTATTTTGTGCCCTCAATTGTTGCCAATAGGAAGACGTTACTTGGATTACAAAACCGAATATCTTCAGAACCGCTCCAAATGACACAAAACTAATATGGGTGAGCAGAACATGATGTGATAACCTAAAATCAAGGGGCCAATGTAAAAAAAAAAACGGTGTTCCACTTTTAAGGATGAGTACAATTCATTTAAGACATTTTTATTATTTCTAGATTGTTTTTTTTCAGTGTAAATTATTTTTGCTGACATTATTTGTTATTTGTTTGGGTTTCTTTGGTGGTCTAGCTGAAGATACTTTAATAGTAGCCACTAAGGTAAGCAGATGCGCATATTTTGGCTATGTTATGTTCAAGCAAATACACTTCTAACACAATCGGAGTGTGTTTAAAATCAGTTGGTTTTTCTTACAGATTGAATAGAGATTGGCCAAAGTAGGCGCCCTCAAATTGATTTTTGTTCTGGACTTTGACTAAACGATTTATGTTTTGACCGGAACCATTTAATTGGAGATTGAACTGAGGTAGAGCCTACTGGAATGCTAACACACCCCAACTCAAATATTTTGCAGTCTCTAAATAGGGTTTATTCCCCAAGGATTTCTACATATTGTAGCTCCTTTCATCTATGGAAATCTGATCAGCTTTTCTGTTTTTGCTGAAGAACAAGAGTCACACAGTGGGATTCCTCTGCTTCATCATGTTTCATGACAGTAATCATGTCTGTAGGAAGAGACGCAGTGTTATTTATGCCATATCACATATGCTGTGCTTGAATAGTAACATTATGGTGTTATCTGACCGCAGCGCTTTTCCCTACATCTTAGTTATGTTGCCTGCAGCCTGAAACATTACTTCTGGTTGCCCACCCTCCCTCTTTTTTAGCCACTCTTCCAGTTTTGAGCATGACTTGTGTTAAAACACTGTCCCACCTTATCTGTGAATTTCTGCAGCAGAGTTACTTCTTCGCTGCTTCTCTGATAAACAACATCCTTTCTTACCTGACAGCTCGTGACAACATCATACTGAGTGGTACCAGGGGTTTCACACCTGAAAGTTGATGTGAACATTGCAGACAGAGCTTCAAAGGTGTTTCCCTCTTGAGCAGTGAGTTCGATGATCATCAACGGATCTCTGCTGGGTTGAGCATGGTAGGTTGTTAGAACTATACCTTCATCTTCCGAGGGCAGATTAAACCGTTTAAAATGGTTAATTTAGTGTGTTAAATTAATATGCAGTGATAGCTGTTCACCACATGTCATTTTCCATCTGATTATTTTAGACTGACTTTTCTCTCCATTGAACTGAATGGTTTGCAGTTATGATACCATTATTTCATAATGGTGAATACAACTAGCCTGGGTGCCATTCCGAACTTAGTCCCGCCCACAAGGTTTGAGGTCGGGAAGTTCGGTCTGGCATTGCTCCATAGTAGCGCGAGTATGATCGCCCACTCTCTGGCGATCCAATCAAATTGGCAGGGCGGGCTTTATACGATGATGGACAGTTGATCAACAGTAACGTAATCAACGATAATCGTGACCAAAGTGCGCATGGGTGACAACAACAATGGCTGCCGCTGGAGAGTTGAGGTGAGTAGATTCTGCTATTAGGTCTGTTCTAGAAGATATCGACAGCAAATTAATTTTAAAAGGGGAACAGAGAAACGCGATCAAGGCTCATCTTCTTATTCTAGGCGTGCAACTGCACGCTTTGATTTTTGTTGACAACTATGCATCGCTTAACATACGTCACGCACTCCGTTGCTCTTATTGGTTGTAGGTCTATCCAATTGAGTGCAGAGGCATTTTTTTTTCTGGTTCGTTCAAAACACGCCCCATAATCACAGCTCTATAGAGCAGTATCAGACTCATATTCTGACTAGAATTGAGTAGGACTACGTCAGGCTAGAATACAACAGGGCTATCTGTGAAATTGTTTAAGGGTGGGTCCATCTCCAGCAGACATTGGGGTCACCCTAGACAAGTTATCAGTTCAACACATAAAATGATTTATAACCAAACTTCCTTTAAATGTTTGGGGACCTTTATCCTTGGTCTGTCAGCAGAGTTCTTAGATTAATTCTGTGTTGTTCTTCAACAAATCAAAGGTATTCACAGAAAAGCTGTCCTTATATTGAGATTATGTGACACACAAGCAGCCCCTTGTGTGTCACATTACTCCTCAGTAATGACATGGTATTCAGTGGCTATGGATTATTATAAGCAAGATAAGATGATAAAGGTGCTGTAAGGACTGCAAAAAACACAATTATTGTACGTAACAAAGAGTAACACATTTCGACAGCTTTTAAAGACTCATTTTTTTATTTTTATAGCCCCACTATTGAAACCAGTGTTAGAAAATAGTTCAATAGTTAAAGGGCATAATATTATCTTGATACAATAACATTCAGCTTTAAGTGCTATCGTTTTATTTTGTATTCATAACTAAATTTAAGAGATTTATTCAGAAAGCAGGTTATCTTGTTTTAATGGTGTTTGTTGCAAATTTGTTCAAATCAGTAAAGAGATGGAAATCCTTTGGTAATACAAAGACGATTTCTGTTGGTTTACCTCAGTAAGCAAACAAGCAGCTAGAAGGACCACCTCAAGTTTGCTTATCGCAGTGGAGTGGATGATGCCATCACAGACCTGCTTCAACAAACCTGCTGTCATTTAGACAAGGCAGACAGCACTGTTAAGATCATGTTCTTTGATTTATCCAGTGCATTTCATACAATTCAGCCTGACTTATTTTGTCAGAAACTTCAGAGGACTCAGGTGGAGGCATCCACAATCGCCTGGATCAAAGACTACCTGAGAAACAGACCACAGTTTGTTAGATTGAAAGATCGGTTGTCTAATCAAGCTTTCAGCAGCACAGGAGCAACTCAAGGCATTGTACTCTCGCCATTCCTTTTTGACTTCCAGTAGAAGACAGAGCCCTGTAATCTGCTAAAATACTTGAATTACTGCAGTCATTGGGTGCATCAAAGATGGACAAGAAGATGCATACATGGACCTAGTGAACCACTTTGTAAATTTTGTCGGAAACAAACATCTGATCCTGAATGTCAACAAAAAAAACAAAAAAAATTACTGTAGATTTCAGAAGAGACAGAAACAGGTTTAAACCTATCAACATCAAAGAGAACAATTGGAGGTGGTGGAGGAGTATAAGCCCTATTTACCCTACCCTTTTGAAACCGTGCCGAGAACGGTCCGAGAAAGGTAACAGAGATAACTCTTGATAGTAAAAGGAATGCAACTAAGTTGGACCGTGCTACTGTGTCCGGCTTTGAAATTCACGGATCTCTTCGCCTGTTCACAACATGAACTGATTCAGCTTATTAACAATAAATGGCATCAAAAGACTGTGGTGTGAGCTGGGATGATGCTAAGACCGAAGCTCTCATTGAAATTTGGAAGGAGGATGCTATCCAGGCACATAAGTTCCTGAATGTTTTGTTTGCGTATTCCCGTCTTAAGAGCTGTAGTATCGTGGACCACCTATAGGAGACAAGGAACTGCGCTAGCATGACGTGTAAATGGTTGTAAGGAACCAAGCTCGGCACGGTTAACCGATCCAAGCTTGGTCCGAACTTGGCACGGATCGGTTTCAGAGGGGTAGTGTAAATGGGTCAGTAAATATCCTCTACAAGTCTGTTATGGAGAGTGTGATCTCTTCCTCTATCATCTGCTGGGGTAACAACATCAAAGCAAATGACTTAAAAAGTATTTTTGAGTTGAATTGAAAACTCAAAACAGTAAATGTAAAACCATTATTTATTAACAGGCATGGTAAGCATGCTGCTGGCTCTGTGTCAATGACTCATTAGGATGTGCGAGCATGCCTTAAAAATAACTGCAGAGTTCAGTGAATGAGATTTTCCATATCATGAACAAACAGTTGGCCTTTGTTTGAAATAGGTAGCATATGGTGCACATGCTGGTGGTTATGCATTCCTTCTGCAAAGTCTGAGGCTTTTCAGGCATGGCTTAATAGAACGGACTGCTTTGATTTATATGCTGATTATGGACTGCTCAACCAAAAAAGATTTCATATACTTTAAATATGAAAACCAGAACCAAAAAGGTGTAAAAGAAAAAAGAAAATTACGCTTTTATGAATTAAAAAATAAACAAAATGAAGCCTTTGCCACCGATCATGATTAAAGGTGTAGTTACCAGTGAGTAAATATTGGAATATCTTTCTGTGAAGGCAGGCATTTGGCAAGATGCCCCCCTCAGTCTCACTGCTGAATAAACCAACACATTCTGCAGAATTTCTAAAAGCAAATCGACTGGTCTACAGGAAAATCAAACATTTTGTAGACTTAAAGTAACTTTTCTCTTTACACTGACCCATCAGTACAAGTCACTAGTTCATCACAGAGAAACACAGTGATACATGGGACCAATAACCCTGCACACAGAGTTGCCACTGAATCTACCAGCTGTGTTTCTGGAGTGTAAGGTGTAGGACCCAGTGAAAACCCGCTAATGCAAAGTAGAAGCTGAAAAACATTATTTTGGTTCAAATCCAGGATCCTTCTCCTGCAAAACGGCAGTGGTGCATCACCAACCCCTAATTATTAAAGATGACAATATATAGTGTTTTTGTTGAAAATAAGATTCATTTTCACCCAATTCTAGAACTTTGATAATAAGCATTGACTAAGCCAATGTTTTGCATTTTCATTCAGTAACAATAATAATAAATAATATAAGTAATATAAGTAATAGGTAATAATATTGCAAAAAAGAAAACACAAAGTCAGTGTTTGAATTACCAAAAAAGTCTTTTATTTTGTTTCCATAAGTGTCACTATATGAAATGCCCCAAAATGTCCAAATGGGGCTACATTAAATCACCTGCATAATTTTATGGCTGACATCATTGAAGGCTATAAGTCTGCTTCTTGTCTGGGAGGTCAAAGGTGACGAAAAGTGAGCGAGGGTCCTTCTTGTTTTTACGCACATTGATCCTTCCCTGGAGCTCTTCTCCTTAAGAAATAAAAAGACAAAAATATTTTTAGGCTTTTATAGAAATGAAAAACATCTGTTGTCCAGTATTCTAAGCATGACCACTGCTATTTCTTTGGTGGGCAGGAAAAGTCTGCATGTCCTTGTTTGCAACAAAAGCTGTAGAAAGACAAGCTCAACTTATTTTCAGACCCAAAGAAAGCATTTACATATTCATTAAAATTTTTCTTTTAGGATCTTTTGCAATGAGTAATTTCATTTCTGTGGATTTAAAAGTTCACACAGTTGTAAAAGCTGTTTACTTTTGAAATATTGTCTATCAAACCTAATAGCCTGTGTATCCATATATCAGACTTGAAGCAAAATGAAAACCCATCAAAAGCAGAACGCACTGAGTCAATCATCATTTAGAATTCTCACAATAAAAGAAAAGTTTCTGATGCCCTGAAGCATTACAGGGCTGCTGAGCTCAGACCTCTGCAGCATGAGTGCACTGCTGCTTATAGAAATGATGATGTGTGTAAAGGCAATATGCTTTAATGCATCTTAATAAGCAAGATTGTGCATGGAATGCAGAAGCTCTCCTATCACCAGATGGCAGACAGAAGGGAATACACCTACAAGACCAAGCAAAATTATGACGCATAATCACTCCGATTAACTTCCCGTTTGACTGCTGGAGGTAAATGAATGTTTACTGAAACGGCAAACAAGCGTCCTCTCACGCTCTGCTGTTCTGCCCCACCTCCGTTCTGCTGCAGGTCAGATCGGAATGAGAGGAGAAAATGCTGACTGTGGCTATTTCTCAAGCAACGCGTTTACCATCATCGCTTCCGTGTCTTTCTGGTTACCATGGCGATATCACTGTCAAACAGCTGGCTGTTGGCGCCACTCTCTGGGACTGTTGCCCCACTGCAGAGAGCAAACCTCAAAAGTGGTGAAGGCTTGGTAGTTTTACAAAAGTCAAATATAGTTTAATTATTTAAATATTAAACAAAATGCTGCCAATTACACTATGAAAATAGTGAGCATTTTATTTTTATACTGCCAAACTCAAAGCTCAAGCTCTGTTTCTTTGGATAGAGTGTAAACATTTAATACTTGCCACATAATCTACTTTGGATTTACATCTGGACTTTTATTGGGTTATTCCAAAAAAAAAAAAAAAAAAAAAAGAACTGTGGGAGTAATTGTAAGAAAATGAAAGACATTCAAGACCACCAATAATTTCCCAGCTCTATGCAAGATCACTGCCTGGTGAAAGTGATCATGAGAACGGTGAGCAAAAATCCCACAAAAAAAATTTGTGGAGGGAGTTGAAAGTCTGTGTTGCCCAGCGACAGCCCCAAAACATCACTACTCTAGAGCATCTGCATGGAGGAATCGGCCAAAATACCAGCTATAGTGTGTGCAAACCTGGTGAAGACTTACAGGACATGTTTGACCTCTGTCATTGCCTACAAAGATTTTTCAAATTATTGAGTTGAACTTTAGCTATTGACCAAATACTTATTTTCCACCATAATTTACACATAAATTATTAAAAAATCCTACAATGTGATTTCCGTTATTTATTTATTTTTTGGCCGTTTCGTCTCTCATAGTTGAAATGTACCGATAATGAAAATTACAGACCTCTCTCATTATTCTAAATAGGAAAGCTTGCACAATCAGTGGCTGACTAAATACTTTTTGGCCCCACTGTAGGTTGGTTGCTCTGACATTAGTTCATTATATTTATGTTATCCAGAAAAAGTTTTGTTAAATTGCTATTATATTGAAAATGCAGTTACCAGCCCAGGCCTAGTCAAAACACATGATGACATATATTCAGATGTGTTTATATCTTTAAAGGTATACAGGACGATATATTATATTTCCGGGTGGATCATCAAAATAAGTGGTCCTCCTAATTGTCAATTGTTCTGGAGATATATTTATGTAACACAATGCAACATGTGCTTGTCAGCTATCTTTTTCTGCGCATGCGCACTTTCAGGCGTACATCTGTGGTTCTGTGTTGAGGCGGAGTCACATGACCAATGGGCTAAAAATAGTGATCATGTTCTGAATGGTCAGTTAACTGAGTTTGCTAAAGTTCACTATTAAGTCCTCTATAAAATCCTCTATATAGCAATGGAGAGATTTAGGGATTAGGGTGGACATTTGGACACAGTAAGCTTGTATGAGCTATGAGAACAGCAACTTTTAAACAGAGTCTGTAGGAGGAGTAATGGGCTCGTGCATGCTCTCACACGCCCCTTTTTGTCAAAGGGGAGAAGGTGGGTCTTTTAAAAAACTCGCAAAAATCCTCCATAATACCTCTAACTTGTAAACACATGTAACTTATGTATCATATCTTGAACATGTAAACCACATCTGTTCACATGTTCAAGATATGATACCCAAGTTTAATTGTTTTGAATTCACTTGAGATTTATAGAAGGTGTATTTTTATAGAGATATAGAGTACACACAGAATATAAATTTGACTAGATCACTAAAACTAATCTAAACTTGACTAAAACTATATGAATTGTCAAGCCAATATGAATTGACTTAACTGTGATGAAAACTCGTAAGAATTTTCATCCAATAGACTAGGACTAAACAAAGGTGGAATGGCTTCCGAAAACATTGAAGTTGGAAGAACATTTTTTGAAAGGGACTATAATAACAAAAAAGAGTATCAACAACATTTTAAAGTGTGTTAAAAAAAATGGTGCCACTTTTTGGGGGTTTATTTTTTTATTCATTTATTTTTTCTAAAAGAAATGACTGACTGAACTGGTCTCATTATCAAACAGCAATGATAAATGAAGACCAACCCAGCTGTCCATCTTCAGTGGGGGAAAAAAAAAGCATATAAGACAAAAGTGGCAATTCTTTGACCTTCAATAATGTTGTGTTAAAAGAAAGAAAAGGGATGTTGGTATCAGACATTTGCCCTAAAACAACTTTGCAATTAACTGCCCAAGTAATCCTCCTCGTTTCAGATTGAACTGCTGAAGCATACCGACAATCATTGACAGTGAGTGTGTTTAGTCTCGGTGCAACTACAGCAGCCCTGCTGCAATCAGTCAAACTAAACTCCCCATGGAAGAGGGGCCTGGGAGCACTTGGTAAACTGGCCACTCCGATCTGAACGAGTTTACCATGTGTGGAAATGAGTCAAGGAATGGAGCCGGGCTTTCACTGCAGTGTCGTACATCACCATGCCACTGTCATTAAGCACAACCAGGCTTCTGGAAACAGCTTGTCTCAGCCAAACAACTTCCCTCCATGAAATTAAAATTGGAATATACAGGCTCTGAACACTGACATGCAGATTGCAGCCATTTATATTACATTTACACATTTCTACAACATCTGCACCCAAATGGCTGCGCTGGATTTTATTTAAGTGTTCTAGAAGAAGCAGGATACACATCATACTGGTAGGTTATGGTTTGTGAAATGTGCCTGCTCCCCACACTGGATGAGCATGAGTCCCCTCTATGAATGTATATAAAATCAGGGTACATTCACTCATTCTATAATGCATCCTAGAAACTGTAACCAGATTAGCATTTATGTTTAAAATTAATTTATTGGAAGTCTTAATATTTTAGCTGTGATTGACCTAAAAAAAAAAAAAATAAAATAAAAAAGATTCCAACAAAGGTATGAAACAGTATCTACAAGTAATGTAAGTTCTGTTGAATTCTTGTTAAAATGAATCATTCATAATTTATGTTGTTGTTTAGGTAAAAACTTTAAATGAGTAAATTCACGTGCGTGTTATAAGATAAAACACAAGTTAATTTTATAATTTATTTTAAAAGTTTGTTCTTATCGCCGCTGTTATGTTTTAGCCAGGAACCAAAGTTCATACTTTTTACTACAGTAAAATTAATAGATGCTACACTATGAAGCTAGATTGCAAAACCTGATGGAAGCGTGTAAAGAACCTCTCTTCATGACAAGCGGCTAATGAGGTACTATTATTTGTTTTAATGATGGATTTGTTTATACTTATGCAGCACAGCATCTTGCTCTTTTTTGTACTTGTACACTCTTGGTTTGAGCTGATATATATATATTTGTGTCTGTACAGTTCCCACGGCATAAAAGTATGAACATCATAAAGGCCGTAAATGGAGTGTCATGTTGAACGACATGAGAGAAAAGACGAAATAAATGCCAGTTAAAGAGAAACCGATCCGTGTCTGTCGTGGCGAGAGCTACAAGTAAGATTAATATCTCGAAAGCATACCTATTTAACATTATTGAAACTCCATTTCTAATTTGTTACAGCTAGATTTCATCAGCACTGCATCCTCTATGTGCTAAAATAAATAATTCACTGTATTTTTCGATGTAAGAGTTCAGGTTTTGAACCACAACTCTTATTGCAAATCAAAATTCTTTTAAGATCAAACTGGTTTTAGTCTTAGGTATATAACACCTTTGATGTCAATGTACAGTAGTAGCCATTCAAAATTTCCTCACTTTCCTTGATGGGCCCTTGACTGGTCCTTTTTAAACATTAATCTTTGTACTAAAATATTCTTTCTGTCATGACTTGTTGACATTAAGATCTAAAGAGAAGCGTCATCTCCTGGTCAGACCCTGTAATTCAGTGAAAGGGTGGAGTAAAAACTAAAATGCCCTGCAGAGGGAGGGCATTTTTTTTTTCCCCTCCAACTTGCCAGAAGTTGGAGGGGATTCTGCTGGGAGTGCAAGGAAGTGGGCTTCCATTAAGCTGGTCATTGACTGGGAAGGGCCATTTTGAATGGCCGCTACTATATATCTTGTAAAGCAGTAGTTCTCAAACCTGCCAGGTGTGTGGAAGCAAGGATAACTCTAAAACATGCAGGGCATTGGTATTTGAGGACCAGGATTGAGAACCACTGCTGTAAACCTTAATCATTTAACAAGTTAGATTAACATGTTGGTTTTCCTTATTCTTTGTAATAATGAAATGTAATTCTTTTTTCAGTTTCTTCCCCAAAGCTGAAGAATACACAATATTTTGCAGT